GCTTGCTAGTTCGAACTATCTAGCCCGTGCCGCGTGTAGCCGCGCGGCACGGGGTTCGAACAAGCCGGCATTTAAAAATGGCGCCGGCCGGCTTATGCAAATGAAGCCCGGGAAATTCAAATCCCGGGCTTCATTTGCAAGTGCGGTATGCCTACATTTCCACCCTAGTTCGAACTAGGGTGGTAGTGTAGACATACCCATATAGATTCATGTTACCCTTCATATAGGAACATATTTTGGCTTGTAAAAGCTACAGATTCTGCTTAGTTAATATTATGCTTGTTTCTTGTGTGGTCATTAAAGTGTTATCACTTACCTGTTATCCTGCTAAAAATGAATTCCCCCCCACCCCCAAGATACCATGATCCAGATAATGCATTTATGTGACAGTCCCTAGAAATGGTGGCTTGCCAATATGTCCCAAATAACTAATCTGACCTTTGTTTTAAAACAAGTCACCTATTTGCAAGGATGGCAAATTGACTCTCATTTCCTATTTCTGTGTTTCTTTCAGCCATAGCAGAAAAGTTCAATTTGAATTTAAGTAAAGAAGAGTTTAGCCAAATAACAACAAAATATGATATTAAGAACAATGACAGATTTGCATACTGTGACTTTCTGCAAAGCTGTGTCCTGCTAATGAAACCACAGGAAAGTTCCCTGCTACAAAGGATGAGCATTCAGAAGCCACGAATATCGGTACAGTTGGGGCTTGTTTAGCTGTTTGTGAACTATTTGAGGCAGAAACAGAATATTTTAGGGTCTGATCCTGTTGTCGTATTTATGCGTAGAATCCCATTGGCTTTCCATGGAGTCCAATGACTTCCATTGACTTGTTTTGTTCACGTGGTATTTACTTTAGTCAAAGCATCCACAGAATCAGACCCTGCATATCTAATTCATAAGATAATCTAGATACAATTTGATTAATAATTTAACATATGTGTAAACTGTAAAACACAAGGAGGGGTATTAAAAAGAGGGAAGGCAGACAGTTTGAGCTGTGGAGATTCAGGGTTAGAGTCTGTTTGAAGGCAACAGAAAGTGGGGTAGGTCAGGAAGCTGATTGCTCCCAGTGTCTGCTTCAGCCCCAGCCCTGCACAGTAAGGGCAGTCACGGAGACACTGTGTCTCTCGTCAATGTTCTTTCCAGGACAGTCTCCAGTGGGTGATAGCCAGTGCATACAGCACTCTGACTGCTCTTCACCTGCGTCCTTATCTCCAGCACACATGCCTCCAATATGCCCCCCATACCAGATACAGGGAAGAGAGATGCATAGCACCTAGCTATTCCCAGCGGGGCATCCCCAGCATTGATGTTACAGGCAGCTTACCCTGCAACGGCACCCCCTGGGATATCTGGCTTCATAGGAACTCTTAATCATTCAGTATCGGTATGAAAGTTAAGGCAAAACCATCACGTTTTGCTTCAGACAGTTTCAGATTGTTCACATCAAGTCCCCTTTGTGCACAGATTTGATACTGTAAAATTCTGTCTCATATCTAGGGATGGATAGAGCTACAATTTGAGCCTTTATCTAGTATCATTTTCTGTTTATTCATTTAAGTTTACAAAGTATAATGAAGTGCCCATCCCGTGTTCTGGGCACTTTTACATAATGCAATTGTCACAACAATCCACTGTGTACAAATTCTCAGCAAAAGGCATAATAACATATAATAAAATCCTCTCTGTGACAGGAGCTGTACATAATAAAACTAGCTCTTGGCTTTCAAGCCCCTCCTTGTCTCAAAAGCCAAATAAAGGTTGCAGACCACACAGAGACTCTGGGAGTGTAAATAAGGAAGAGAACGGGTCACTAATACAGAGTGATCCGAATTGCTTGGTAAACTGGGCTTAAGCAAGCCATCTGTTTTAATATGGCTAAATATAAAAGCATATACCGAGGAACAATTGAAGAATGTAGGCATAGTTTCAAGATGGGGGACTCTGTTCTCCAAAGCAGTTACTCTGAAAGATGTTTGGCAAAGAGGGGAAGTGGGGGATAATCAATTAAAAATGAGCTCTCAAGGCAATTCAGTGGCCAAAAGGACTAATGCAGTCCTTGGATGCATAAACCTGGGAATATCAAGTAGGAGTAAAAGAAGTAAATTAGCCTTGCATTTGGCACTGGTATCTTCACTGCTAGAACACTGTGTCCAGGTGTGTTGTCCGCAATTCAAGAAGCATATTGATAAATTGGAGAGGGTTCAGAGAAAAGCCATGAGACAGAATAAAGGATTAGGAAATATGGCTTCAAACAATAGACTCAAGGACTCCACTCTATTTAGTTTAAGAAAGAAGAACCACCTGGGGAATAAATATTTGATAACAAGCTCTTGAGCCTAGCAGAGGAAGGTATGACACTGTCCAGTGGCTGTAAGTTGAAGCTAGACAACTTCAGTCTAGAAAAGAAGGCGTACGTTTTTAAGTGCTCGTACTTAGTGATTGGAGCAATTTACCAAAGATTGTGATGGGTACCACATCACTGGTGATTTTAGAATGAACAGGGGATTTTTTTTTAATATGATGTGGTTTAGCTCACAAGGAATTGGTTTGGGGAAGTCCTAGTGCCTGTATTATCTAGGAGTTCAGATATAGGATCACCATGGCCTTGGAATCCATGAGAAGTTGGGCCTTGAGTTTTAGTGGAGACATGCAGACTCTGAGCTAGAGAGAACAGTCTGGGTCCCTACAGCCAGGATGAAGGGCTCCCTTTCTACTGGAAAAAGTCCACAGGGGCCCCCACGATAGTTGATGGAAGTCTGCTTAGGCAGCTGAGCTAGGCAACAAATCTTTCCACAGCTCTGTACTTCCCAAGATTAAGATGAATTTCACTGTGGGTGCTTGTACCAGCTGCCCACACTACTTGAACCCAACGTAGTAGCTGTACAGGGCCGTCTGTGTGCTCACTGCTTGCTCAGTATCCTGTACAGCACATATGAAGAAACTGTGGTCTCCAATCTTTCCCAGTGGCTGGAATAACAGCTCGGTGGGGGGGACACAGCAGCTTTTTGCAAGGTCAAAAACAACTTCCTCAAGGTCATCTGAATCAGTGGGTTGTGCCCACAAAAGCTCATGATACTAGCTATACATTTTTATAAGTCTCTAAGGTGCCACAGGACTCTGCATCGTTTCCTCCAAGATGGCAAGAAACAATACTCCCCTAGTAATTCCCATGCTAGATTTTGACTGTCTGGCCCCAGCTATTTCAACTATAGAATTGTTCAAAGCCTACTATATAATGGGGCAGGTATCTCTTTTACCCTCCTCCTGGACTCATCTAATTCATTGTCTGATGAATTTAGACACTTTCAGTCAAAATCTAAACATGAAAACATCCAACCTGAAGAGTGAGTTTCCAAAGAGTTATACGTAACTGAAAACAGAGGTTTGGAGGGGGAGCAGTTGTGTGCCTTGGATTGCTGCTGCTTTGTAACATTTATAAAATGCTTTAAAAAACCCATAAATATCTGATAAAGAATTGTATTAATTTTACAAACACATCACAGTAACACAAATTTTGGGCTTTGACATGTTTCAGCTTCACTTGCTGAAGAATGTTAAAAGGTGAAGTGAATCTAGTACTATTTATTCTGCATCAGTCAAGGTTACAGTCAGTCTTTGGTACAATCAAAATTTTACTGTAATACCTTTACATTTCAGCATATGACTGCGCTGATCTACCGTGTTCTTTATATTAACAAATATCTTTCCCCCCACATTTTGGTAGCGGAGTCCTGGACCACAGACCCTGACATTTTTCAATGCAATGCTAAGAATTCAACCCCAGATCTTGCACTGCTGGAGACCAATGAGACGAACGTTTAAATCCTATGACGAAAGTGGGAGTGGGCTGTTAAGTGTTCAGGATTTCAGGCAGGTAAATTGCCTTTACTAATCTAATACTAACAGACTGAAAACCAAAGTCTCTAAATAACCGTCCTCAAACAGTTTCTAAAATCATGGCAACTGTACGTTTACAGACATACTTGCTGTGACATTAATACTGAGCACTAATAATACTGGTAATTACCCTCTTTCCAATGCATACAAAAGCACACTACTTCTTTCCCACCAGAATGGAGAATAGTGGGCTTCATCTGCCCAGGAGAGAGACTGGGGAGCAGATTGGTGAGGAAGAATCCTTCCTACCAGGCCCCTCTGCAGTCACTTCTACAGCCTCAGGATTCCCGTGAACCACCAGCTGCTATGTTCTCTTATGAAGGGGGAATAGCCGTGTGTATTCCTCAGCATAAGACAGCCCCATCTGGAGTGGAGGTTTCAAGCTAGTTTACCAGATGCACCTGTCTCGCTTTCCTCTTCAAGTCCCCACAAAGAATCCAGACAGTCTTTCTTCATGCAAATGGGCCTCATTTGTTATAGAAGAGAACTGCATAATCCCAACACTGTAATCCAGGCTATTAAATACAGCAGCCCCAGGATTGCTCACTACACTCCAGTTCTTCAGTACAACCCTCTCTGGCCTTTTCGCTACAGTTCTGTGGCTCCAAGACCCATTAGGTATCACCCTGCACTGTTCTTAGCCTTTATCCCTCTCCAGCCTTCCCTGGCTCAGGACAACAGCTAGGCTATGTCTACACAGCAACGTAATTCCAAAATAACAAAGAGCATGTCTATACAACAAGCTATTATTTTGAAATAATGTTGAGCTGGAGGAGTTCTTACTCTGACTCCTGTAACCCTCATTTCACAAGGAGTAAGGGAAGTCGAAGGAAGAGTGCCTGTCCTTCAACTTCCTGCTGTGTCGACAGGGCTAAAAGCCAAATTAAGCCATTTCAACTTTAGCTATGCAATTGACTTAGCTGTGTCTACACTACGAAGAAAAGTCGGAAAAATTGCGAAGTGCAATTTGCATATCTTTTTCTGCTTTTCTTATGAAAGAGGCTTTTCCGGCATTTGGCCCATCTTCATGGGGCCAAATGTTGGAGAAAAACCCTCTTTTGGAACATCCCTTCTTCTTCATAAAATGAAGTTTACAGGGATGCCAAAATAAAATCTGCTTTTCCAAAAAATTTTTCAGAAAATCAGAGGTGTTCCTTGGACACAGCAGAGCTTTTCTGGGGTACCCCCAGGATCCTGTAAAAGCCCTGTAGTCTAGACATACCCGTAGCTGAAGTTTCGTAGTCTTATTCAACTTTTTCCCTGCAGTGTAGATGTGCCCCTTGGTAGCTACTCCACAGGCTTTCTAGCCCTCAGCCCTTGTCAGGTCTCCTAACACTGCCTGTATTGAAAGTCAGTCATCAGATGAGCCTCTCTAGTAACTTCCTAATAATTCCTCTCTCTGGGTATGTCTACACTACCACCCTAGTTCGAACTAGGGTGGTTAATGTAGTCATACGAACTTGCAAATGAAGTCCAGGATTTGAATTTCCCGGGCTTCATTTGCATGTTGCCGGGCACCGCCATTTTTAAATGTCCGCTAGTGCGGACTCTGTGCCCGCGGCTACACGCAGCACAAACTAGATAGTTCGGATTAGGCTTCCTATTCCGAACTACCTGTAACCCCGTGCCGCGCGGCTACGTGTGGCATGGACTAGCTAGTTCGGATTAGGCTTCCTATTCCGAACTACCTGTACGCCTCGTGGAATAGGAAGCCTAATCCGAACTATCTAGTTCGTGCCGTGTGTAGCCGCGGGCACGGAGTCCGCGCTAGTGGACATTTAAAAATGGCAGCGCCCAGCAACATGCAAATGGAGCCCGGGAAATTCAAATCCCGGGCTTCATTTGAAAGTTCGTATAACTACATTAACCACCCTAGTTCGAACTAGGGTAGTAGTGTAGACATACCCTCTTTCTCAAGAGGGCCTACTGAGAGTCTTCTACTCTCTATAGCTTTTCTAAGAAATCACCTCCACCAATCTCTTTCCTTCTCCTCACTCACTAGGCGTGCATTGACATGCGCTATGCAAATCACATATCTTATTTCAAGGTAATTTTGAAATAAAATGCTATTCCAACAAGTCCCTTAATCCTCGTGGAATGAGGGTTACAGGGACACCAGAATAGCATGCCTGTTATTTCAAAATCTAATCCAAAATAATGGGCATGTCTATAGACATAGAATTGCTATTTTGGGATACTTCTGGTATCATGAAATAGCTCTGCTGTCAAGACGTAGCCTAGCTTTCTTGCTGATCTTTTATTGCTCCCAAGTGGTCCCTTTAATTGGCCAAATAGGGGGCAGGGCCATCCTTACCCATACTCAGAATAAGCAGCTGCATAGGACACACAAAATATTTGGGCACCACTGGGTCTTAATATGCATCCATTCCCTCTTCCTATCCCTCATCTGTGGCTCTGCTGCCTCTGGAGAGGATCTAGTTAATTTGACAGTGAAAAAGCCTGCCAGACCTATTACCAGAACCATTCAAGAGCCATTCAAATGGTAATGAAGCCATTTAACAGGCATTTGCCTACTTCAGGTACATACTGTCAGTTTCTGAATTTATTGTGTTAGTCTAGATGGCCTTAGTTTAAAATTTGCTTTAAAACTATTTCATGAGTGTGCCTAAAGATTATGAAATCACATGTATAAAAATCATCATTCCTCCCTCGGGCTGTCATTGGGAATAGGGACACCAGTTTAATCGTACTGGGTCGGGACCCATAAATCCTAAGGGTGTCCCTGACTGGGGCCACTTGTTCTGGCACACTTCCAGGGGACCTTACACCCTGAGATATTCTTTGATAGCAGGATGACTCTCTCCCCTCTTTCTGTCCCACCCTTCCATTGGAACACAGATCTGTGGTACGTAGGGCTACGTATCCTCTGCATGGGCGTCTCAGATCCAGCACCTCACCAAACAGTAGAACCACACCCATTTCAGTGTCTGCAAGGCTGCTCCCCACTTGCAGTGCCATATAGCACCATGAGACCAGGGATTAGTACTATGCTCGTGGATTCACACCACTTGGGAGTTTGATTGCTGCTTAGCATACATTTTACTTCTTTTTTTCAAGATCCTTGACATTTCTATAAGTAGATATCAGAATCGTAATATGAACCACGGTAATTGTATTTGCCAGTCAAGTTGCAAGGATTTAAAAAAATGATGCATGAAGCTGTTTAATTAACACCGAGTCCAAGTGGGATACCAGTGACCTTCTCCACATGGTATCTCTGCCACTTAGAACATCTGATGAAATAATGGACAGTCCTCAACTGTACCAAGTATTAGCTCTCATTTTGCTCTCCCATTCCTCAGGCTGACAGGAGCCAAAATGCCCCCTGCTGTAACTTAAAGCAATCTGAAGACCCAAGGGCAGAGGCTCTATAGAAATTGCTCTAATGGTGTGGGGTCAGTTAGAGCAAGGTGTAGGCCAGCCTCACCGCATATACACTCTTCAGACATTCTCCTCTGTGAAGGTAGGAGAGTGAGATACATAGAGCCATATCAGCTTTATGCCTGAGATTTCCCCTGTGTGAGAGGAGCTTCCTGACTGCTTTGTACTATCTCAGAGGTGGATATCACCTAGAAAAGGGGTTAGGATCTGGTCCAATGTAATTTTTAAAAACATTTATGTGACATCAAGTTTATTTGTCAAGCATTTGGTAATAACTATTTAACTCAGGCCACTTTATCCCAAGCAATTTAATTACATTAAGAGAAAAATGAAACCAGTCCAGTTGTGTGCTAGGATATATTAGGTAAGTTGATTTTTTCCTCTGCAGTGCTTAAGTGCTCCTCTAAAAATTTCCTTAAGGTACTATAGACAAAAAAATAAATTTATGACATAAAAGATGGTGTACTTGGCAAGCCAAATGGCTTCAGCAACTCCTTAGATTTCAGTTGATTTCATGAGGTCGGGAATTAACTGCAGCGTAAGCAATAAAAGTGCATTTATGTGTCTTAAACAATACTCATTGTGCGTTGAGGTGCCAGGCAGTGTTTTGTTAACAGAGTTAAATAAGCCCACAAAGAAAGGAGAAATCAGAAATGGGGTTCCAGTGAAGTATGTCTAAGGTGTTGTAAGATAATAGTGAGCAGAGAGATATTTAAATAACTTAAGGTAAGAAGCTCTCCTATTAGCATTCTCACTTATCAAGGAGTTAATAGACTGATGAGTGTTGAAACCCGTGCTCTGCATAAGGTGACACAGATACAAATGTGTGGCTACTGTAACACTAGCACATCCCGGACACACCACACGATCCATTGTTTACAGCCAAGCACTGAGGTACAACCGCATATGCTCCAACCCCTCAGACAGAGACCTACACCTACAAGACCTTCAACAAGCATTCTGTAAACTGCGATACCCACACGAGGAAGTGAGGAGACAGATTGACAGAGCCAGACGTGTACCCAGAAGCCTCCTGCTACGGGACAAGCCCAAGAAAGAAACCAACAGAACACCACTGGCCATCACCTATAGTCCCCAGCTAAAACCTCTCCAACGCATCATTAGTGATCTTCAGCCCATCCTGGACAATGATCCCTCGCTCTCACAGGCCTTGGGAGGTAGGCCGGTCCTTGCCCACAGACAACCCGCCAACCTGAAGCATATTCTCACCAGCAACTACACACCGCACCATAATAACTCGAACTCAGGAACCAATCCTTGCAACAAACCTCGGTGCCAACTCTGCCCACATATATACACCAGCAACACCATCACAGGACCTAACCAGATCAGCCATACTGTCACTGGTACATTCTCCTGCACATCCACCAACGTAATATATGCCATCATGTGCCAACAATGCCCCACTGCTATATACATCGGCCAAACAGGACAGTCCCTACGTAAAAGAATCAATGGACACAAATCTGATATTAGGAATGGCAACATACAAAAACCTGTAGGGGAACACTTCAATCTTCCTGGACACACAATTGCAGATCTAAAAGTAGCTATCCTGCAGCAAAAAAACTTCAGGACCAGACTTCAAAGAGAAACTGCTGAGCTACAGTTCATCTTTAAGTTTGACACAATCAACTCTGGATTAAACAAAGACTGTGAATGGCTTGCTAACTACAAAAGCAGCTTCTATTCTCTTGGAATTCACACCTCCAGATCAGCTGCTAGAAGTGGGCCTCATCCTCCTTGATTGGATCCACCTGGTCATCTCCAGCCTGATCCTGGCCTGCATATTTATTCCTGCCTCTGGAAATTTCCACTACATGCATCTGACGAAGTGGGTCTTTGCCCACGAAAGCTTATGCTCCTACACTTCAGTTAGTCTATAAGGTGCCACAGGACTCCTCATCGCTTCTGCAGATTTAGACTAACACGGCTACCCCTCTGATACTAGCACAGCAGTGATTTCAGATATTGGCTTGGCTCACATAAATTCAGTGGCAACCAGCAGGGTAGAAAAGGAGGCAGACTGATCTGAAGATACAGGTGGAGATCCTGTTGGACAACAAACTATTGCAGAGCCAGTGGACAGCACTTAGGGTATGACTAGACCACAGGGCTCCGTCGATGGCGCCATGTAGATGAGTTTACTAGATATAGGAAAATGAAGCGGTGATTTAAATAATCGCCACTTCATTTACATAAAAATGTCCGCCACGCTGTGCTGATCAGCTGTTTGGTGGCACAACGGGGCAGTCTGGATGCGCCATGGTCGACAAGGGAAGCCTTTGTCGACCGCTCCGGTAAACCTCATTTCACAATCTCAATGGTGTGGAGCTTGCACACAAGCACAGGGCGGTGGGGAATAAGGCTTCTCCCAGTTCTCACAGCAGTGTGGCTCTGGCCTAGCAGGGCCACTCCCCACCAGGCAAAGCCAGATAATGCACAGGGTCTTTAGTGTCTGCAGCCCAGGGCCTCGGGCTAAGGGGGTTTCGCAAATGTATCGGGACTTTTGGTAGCCAGGCGATCTTTTTGTCGGACTTAGACCATGGCTCTGGGCTACAATCCCTAAAGTCCCTTTCTTAATCTGGTCCTGCTGAGAAATGAACATCTCTTTAGTCGTGGTGCCAATGGCTTTAAGGGCCAGATTTTTAAAGATATTTGGGTTTTCAAATCACCTAAGCATTGTTGAACTCGGTGGAAATCAGGCACCTAAATTCTTCTGAAAATCCCACTGTGCATCTGTCTGTGCTTTGCAGGGACCTCCATACCTTTAAACATCTGGCCCTTCGTGTCAATAGCATTTGGTACCACCTGGTCAGTAGTGTTCTCATTAAAGGTTAAGGAAAGAAAACTTAGTACTGAGTGCCCCTTCAGAAGCTCCCATCACCACAGACTTGAGGGAGTCTCATAGGCAGAGTGAGTAGATATATTGGACAGGATTGTTCCTTCCAGTTCTTCGGATGGAAGGGGCCTGGACACCCCCACGAGACAGCAAAGGGAGAAGCCACATCTGGTTAGCATTGTCACTCCCTGTTATGTGTTCAACCAGGTAGACTGTTAGCTGTTCTCAATGGGACCATCACCTAGATCCCTGCAGGGCATCCAGGAGCAGCTGCTGTGTGGCCAGCATACAATAAATCACTACCTGCAGGAGGTTTCAAGAGCAGCAGCCAGTGGAGCTGTGTCGGCATAGGAAAGCTGGGGAGCAATAGTAAGGTTCTGGCTTTCACAGATTTGTATCCAATTCAAAACTGTGGGGCTGAGCCTTCAAGTAGTTTTGCAAAGAGTGAACGATGCTTGCGTGGTACATGAGCCCTGTGCCCAGCATTGAATGTCACCCTTGCCTCCTAACATCAGGTGAGCAGGGTGATTGTTGGGAGGTTGCAGAATCCCCATTGCTGGAGGTTTTTAAATACAAACACCTGCTAACGATGGTCCAGGCATACTTAATCCTGCCTGAACCCAGGGGGATGAAGTAGCAGATGACATCTTGAGGTTCCTTCCAACCCTACATTGCTATGATTTCTGATGACATTTTGTGTATTTTGCAGGTTCTGCATCGGTATCACATCAACCTGACTGAGGAAGAGTTTTTTCACATTTTGGAATTTTATGATAAATCATTATCTTCAAAAATTTCCTATAATGATTTCCTGCGGGCATTTCTGCAATAGGAAATGGAAGGTGTCATCAAATGCAAGAAACTATAGTTAAAAGAGCTCATGACTGATTCATAATTCCTGATTTCTAATTAATAAATTAACCAACTCCAGCCTTTTTTTGCATCAGCAAGCTCATAATACTTAAAATTTGGACAAATGCAATGGTCATGGATTGTAGAGCAAATCTGCATGGCAGAACTATTAATATTCACATAATTCATTTTATCTGAAAAAAATTATACCAATTCAAGTTGTTATAGTAATGATTTCTAAAACCTTACAAGCATCTATAAAAATAATACATTTCAGAAAATCGTTTTTGTAAAATTAAAACCCCTTTTTAATTTCAATAAAAGGTTTGAAAGGCTTACTATTCATTTTTATCAGATATGATAGAAATAATACATTTGGAAAATTATATTATCCTTCATTATTAGAAAATTGTCTACTTTACAATTGGTCTTACACCCTACTTGATCATGTACTGACATATTTATATCTCCGGTAGCTTTATATGTTGATATGATACAGCTACTATACCCTGAACACACTACATGTACCTTGATGTGTCATCTTTTTGCACTTATGCATTTTTCCATATTTTTCCCATATTTTAACATACAAATAAAAGTTAAAAATAAAATTAGAAGGAGCTAATTCACCATTTACTCTTGTATTTGTCACTGCAAATGTGGAATTTTATAGCTCCAACTTGCATATCCTCATCATATTAACCCTGAGGTTTATTTGTATGGATAAACTATTTTTATAATATATAGCACACTAAAAGTAAAAAAATCAGTTAGATTTATTGGTTTTGCAAAAGTGAATAGTTTGAGCACCTATTAGAAAATTTTGGGGGAGGTTTCAGTAGAAAAAGATAACATGCCAAGACAAAGTTAGTATGGCTGAGGCATATGTAAATCTTAAAAGAGAAATTAAAAGATAATTATTTTGACTGACAGCATCTTTGGTAAGCATGAACTTATGATCAGCAGGTTCTGTTTTCTCGGCTTATATCAGTTTTCAAATGAGCACGTTCTCTCAGGCCAGATCTACATTAGGGGATACATTCAAATTAAGATATGCAACTCTAGCTATGTTCATTGTATAGCTGGAGTCAATTAACATACCTTAATTCAAACTTTGGCACTGTCCCCACAGCGGAAGGTTGATGGGAGAAATGCTTCCATCAACTTCTCATACTCCTTGTGGCCATGTCTACACTACAGATAAGATCGAAGCAGCCGCAGTTGATCTTCCGGGGTTCGAATTAGCGGGTCTAATGAAGACACGCTAAGTTGAACTGAGAAGGCACTCCCATTGATGCTAGTAGTCCTGCTTCTACGAGGAGTAAGGGAAGTTGAAGGGAGAAAGTGCTTTCTTCGACTTCCTACAGTGTGGATGGAGCCAAAATTCAAGTTAAAGTACTTCGACTTAAGCTACACAATTAGTGATAGAAATGTAGCCGTGTTAGTCTGGGGTAGTTGAAGCAAAATGCAGGACAATATAGCACTTTAAAGACTAACAAGATGGTTTATTAGATGATGAGCTTTCGTGGGCCAGACCCACTTCCTCAGATCTGAGGAAGTGGGTCTGGCCCACGAAAGCTCATCATCTAATAAACCATCTTGTTAGTCTTTAAAGTGCTATATTGTCCTGCATTTTGCTTCAGCTACACAATTAGTGTAGCTGAAGTTGCAGATCTTAATTCAACCGTATCCCCTAGTGTAGACGAGGGGTGTGAGGAGAAGGGGCACCCTCAATATTTGATTTAGCATGTCTTTACTAGACTAAGTTGAATACTGGAAGATCAACCTTGGAGAGTCAGTCATTGGGGATGTATAGAAGTGGCCTCAGAAACTAATAGGTGAATACATCTCTTCATGGCAACTTGAATGTCTTCTCTGCCACCCTGTCATTTTCACTGATCCACTGAAGAGCTCTATGTCTCCACAACATGTGGTTGCTTTCCATGTTGCTTTGCTTTCTTCCAATCAAGCATAAAATTATAATTTTTTAAAAAGGAAAGAAACATCTCTAACAAATTTTACATGTGTCTTTTCATAGTCAGTGTTTAGCAAGTGAGCAGTGTCAGGGTGTTTGAATGAAGCACCTTACATTTTTAATGCATTAACAGCAACATCTTAAAAGGACTTGGTACCAAAAATTTCAATACAAAGCAAAGTAACTACTAACTGGGGATAATGCACAACCAAACAATCTCTGTTTTATTGCTTGGGAACTTGCCAGCCACTACTATAGGTCTGAACTGAAGACCGTTGAAGTCAGCTGAAAGATTCCCACTGACTTTAATGGGATTTGAAACAGGCCTTAACTCACGAAATAATTTCTCTCATTTGAAGCACCAAGGATGATGTTTGGTGGATTTTAAATGAAGAGTAATAGTGAAACTTGGGGTTGTTTGGCTTTGGTGATTTAGGCTCTTGATTTCTGTTATCAATATGATCTGTATTTTGTTTATCACACACACTTCAGGAACACTTGCTATATATACAAGGAAGTATACATAAAATTTGAAAAAACTTGAAATAGTAAAACAAAGATCCTTTGTAACATTTTCTTTGCAAAGTATTTGCAACCTACATACATCCATAAATCACAGCTGTTTTTAGTGCTTAGATAAATGACTAGAATGAAGCAAGGGGTTTTACTACACCAATCCAATGTGCCAAAGTTCTAAGTTCTGTTTACAGGTGATTCAGATTCTCACATAAATAAGAGAATCTAAAATCCATTTCACCTTTTTTTTGTTTAACTCTGTTCTGAAAACTGCTCTCAAGACATTCCTTTTTATGAATGTTTTCCACACTTAATGAGCATCAGTCAATGAAATTCACATGCAATATGCCTATGCTAAGCTCTGTTATTTCTATGCTGCTTGCAGTTATAAAAGAATTAATTTTCACCAGATTTAATATTTGGAATACACCTTAAAGAATAATAAAAATCAAAACTTGGAGTAATTCTTTTGGAAATTGGGATTTTTTTTCTTGATCTATTGCTCACTAATAAGAAAAGAACAAAACTAGAAGTTCAGTAAATTTTGTTTTGCATTCCTATGATGGGAGTGTGATAATTTGGTCTGATTTTTGATCAAAGGCAGTATGAACACCCCCATCTTTGTGCTGCATTGTGGCATGTAGCACAGCTACTGTGATTCATGTCAGATACAGGAGTCATCTCCTTGCTTCCAATCATCTCAGGATCTCTGCTGTCTTCAGGAGAAATGGCTCCGGGAGGAGGTGTCTCAGCATTTCTTGACACTTCATGCCAATGTATTTTTCATTAGTGCTACTGGCAGGAGAATCAGACTCAACAACTCCAAAGGGATTAAAGAACAATCTTTTTGCTGTAAAAACAAATCAAATCATGCTGTTTTTTTGTGAGTTCTTAAAGGCATGGATGGCATTTGCCAACTGCTTATCCAACCTCAAAAACAAACTGAATTTCCACTGCCAGCATTTTGAAATAACCTGGGTAATTTTTCATATTAGGATTGCCAAGTGCTACATACATAAACTTTGCAATAGAAGAGTTTGCTTTTTTGGTGTTTTTTGTAACTGTTAGCAGCAGATAATGATCAGCCATCCAGCAATGATTGGTTGGCATTGATTCCATTTGTTTTTGTGGGTGATAGATAATGTCAATGAAATTGAACATTATCCTGTGATAATGGTCTCCTGCTGCTACATGTAAATGCTGAGGCAAAGACGAAGCAGTTATGAAAATAAATGTCAAGGCGAAGCTCAGAAATTTACTTTCACAGCAGAAAATATTGATCCTCTGTCTGTTACAATAGGTTTACTTCTGTTATGCCATTGGTTGTCACTCTTAACAGCTCCAGCATCGGCCTGATACTGCTACACCAATTGCTCCCTGTGCTGTTATTGAGCTGCCCTATTGACTTGCTGAGGTACATTTCAGCCAGCCAGAGTAGCTTGTCCAGTGTAATGAGTTTTTTAAAAATATATCCCTCTGAAATGCAAACTCGTTTGTAGGCTGAAGTTTTAGGGCTTGAGTCTGGCTGTGGCAGCCCCTCGGATGCTCTTGTAAGGCACAATTCCCACCCTGCTTCTCCTTAGCTCTTAGGTGAATTGTAACTTGCTGATGGCCTAGTAAACTACAGCCTCCTTCCCTGCTCTCTGTCTCTCATGAGTAATTGGGATCTGTGGAGTAAAGGCTCCCCCCATTTCCTTTCCCTCCCAGTTTGCCTTCTCCAGTGAGGGAATAAGCAGGTGAGTAGCTACATTTACACCCACTCAGGTAATCTGCATAGGTTCTTACTCATACTGGCTTGGACACATTGTCTTAGTCACAGTCTGGCCCTGAATGCTTACTTTCCAATAGACAGCCATCTAGCATCTGACTGGCCTACTGCACTAGGTACTCTGAAGTGCATCTGGTAAAGCAAAGATGCCCATTTCAGTTAGTGGGGCTGATGTGCTCTTTGACAGCCCCTCTCAGACTTGTGCACGCTAAGGCTCTTTTTGGAAATCTCGCACCATTGCAGGTGTAGTGCCACCTGTGGCAGCAAATGTGGGGATGTTAATGTAGCCCAAGAGCAGGCAGCTGGTGGTGTTTCTGTCATCATGACATCTAGCCTTGCTCTGACAGGTCCTAGTGACACAGCACCAGTCTGTAATAATCCTGCACCATTGCTGGTCCAAGGATATGTTACGATCAAAAAAGGAAGGTTTGGGGTCAGTGTTCCCTGTAAACTGAGCACTTGGGCAGCCATCCAGGAGAGATTTAGGTGCCACTCAGCCGATTAGCAGAGCACCCAGAGCTGGCAGCATGTATTTTTATTGGAGGTGCACATAACAAAATTTATTCTGCATGTGAATGGAAAAGATTAGAGGGAACACTGGCAGATTAGAGCCTTTGAGGCTTGTCCAGGCAGAACATGAAGTCATTTACTGAATTCAGGTTTAAAGCCAAAATAAGATTGTAAGATTTATTTTTCTGAAGGCATTTTCCAGCCCCCATGCAGAGTTTAGCTCTTCCACACTCAGTCCCCTTCCTGGATAGAGAAGGTCTGTTATAAACTGATGGGAATTCCTTCCTCCAGGGATAGGTGAATGCACCATCTCTGCAGTAGCTCTAACATCGCTATGGATTTTCATTTCCCCTCGTTCTAATCTCTTAAATTAACTGAAGTGACTGAAATTATAACCAGTGCAAAGGAGAGTCATACCATTGTTAGACTGCTCTTCTATACAACAAATTCCTCCACTTGTTCCATCTTTCCTACTAGTTAAATACAGGCTGGGGATCGACTGCAGAGAAAAGACTCGTGGGAGAGGCTAAAGGGGATTGATCTCTGCTTATTCAAGCCTATTGCACA